CTGGGCAGGAGTGTGGAAAAGTCGTGTTATGCAACTGGGTGCTTGCAATATTACCTGCTCCAGGGGGGTGTAAAACCAGAGGATGCAAGAAGTGGGACTGTATAATGAGTACTTTACCAGCAAAATATTAGGGGACAATTAATACAATGGGTGTTAAACTTGATCACCAAATAATCACTTAAGCACCTGGTTGTCACTGCTATCCTTAAGAACAAAGGAAAAAAAAGCAACTGACCTACTCTGCCAGTGAAAAAAAAAAACAACAAACCAAACCCAAAACCAACCAACAAAAAAAACAACACAAAAATTCCCCCAAACAAACCCCAGCAAAAACTAAACAACAGAAAATTCAGTCTCCTTCCACCCACACTTCTGGATTTCAGAGGCACCTTAATTACAGTAATCCTCCCCAGGTACATCAGTTGGTATAACATGGACTTTAAAGCTTTTGTGGTAGCTTTCCCTGTCTTACTAGCAGACCTGTGAGCTTGATGACTAATCACTCCTTAATAACTCATGTTTGCTTCCCAGAAGTCCCTGAAATGAAACTAGTGGGGGAAAACATATAAGCAGGGATTTGTGAAGTAGAAAAATCACTTTGAAATGGGCTTCTTTCCCAGTAACCCGTATGTTGTTTTTGAAGGAGGGGGTGGTGGGGTGGTGCCGAATTCAGTTCTATTCCCCACATGTTCTGACTTTGCAATTGGGAAGTGATCTCTGATAGTGTTTTTCAGACATATCCCCAAATAATGAAAACAAAACACAGATTTGTTGTAGGACTCTCTAGCTTGGCTGTTGCTTGAATTTGTTCTGTAGGAAATTTCAAATCCAGGTATCTTTCTCCCAAGTACATTCCTCCATCCTGGGTTAGAAGGGGAAGATACTGTAAGCCAACAAATACATATCTATGTCTATTCAGGACTTTCCCAACTGTGAAACTAAAATGACTGAAGTTGGTGAGATCTTCATTTCTGAGATGGGATAGGCTCTTTGCAGGATGATATTTACTGATACCACTTTATTGATCACCCTCTTGGCCAAATGCAAGCATCTGAGCTATTGATGGACCAAAAGGTGACGAGAGCCCTGTGTCTCATGTAACTGATTGCGTAAGAAAATAATCTGTATAGCTGCCTAAAAACAGGCACATATTTACTGACAGGATGCTGTGGGAGCTTTACTATCTTCCCTGTCACCTAAACACCAGCAGAAACCACACACACTTCCATGTCGCATACCATGACTGCAGCTGCATGGCCCGGCCAGACAGAGGAGAACTGCATCTGCCTGTGGCTGGGTGCACCATACATGCTAACACAGAAACCTGGAGTATTGAGCCTGGCGCACACACACAGCAAAAAGGCAAGTTGGATAGCACATGCTGCAGCTGGGCATTCTCTCTTTTTTGGACAAAATATAAAGGCTTCTAAGCAGAGGTATTCTGAGCATTCACAGTCAACTGAATTATGAGTTGGAAAAGCATCAGCCATGCAGTGCTATTCAGTACATGTCCTCTTCTCCTCATGGTTCATACATTTTCACTCCTCTTTAGCTTTCTGGGCATGTACTGTACCTTGTGATGACATGGAAGAACAAGGTCTTTAAGTCTTTAATAATTGTTACTACTGTATTTTTAAAAGAAGTTATTTAGGAAATTCTAACTTTTGTTACCATAGGAATGAAGCTGTAGGATTCAGCAGAAGAACAATTTAAACCCCAAAGTTTAAGTAATTCACTTCAACTGTGATTCTCTGCTCCATTCAAGTTCCTCTTGGACATAAAGGAAAGGACTTTAAAAGCTCTCTCTCTCCCCCTCAGTGCCACTTGACTATAGCCCAAATTAGGAGGTGCAGCCTTGTTATCTATAGCAGGGCTTAACAATGTCCCTTCCCACCCATAGAGAGTCTTCCTGAGTGAAGCAGCAGCAAAGTGCTCCTTGGCTCAGGCAGAACTCTTCATCTGTTTTATTTCAGCTAGTTTAAAGCAATGTTTATGCAACTTTTATACAATAAGAACTGGGTGAATGGAGGAGCATCCAGTCTGCTGTACGGGAGCAGGTTGGGATGCTCGTAACTGATGAGCTTGCCTAGATGAGCTGACCAGTGATTTACTACTCCGATTAATTCTGAACTAAGTGGCTTAACAGAGCACTCTTACATGCCCCTTTCTGAATGGTTTGCTCCTTCTGTTCTATTTGAAAGATTTAGGTCTACATTACGTAAAACCCAAAACAGGGCAGGTAAATTGACTAGCAGTTCTGCTGGCCTTCTCCAGTAGGCTGGAGGAGACAAGGCAAGGAAGCAGAACAGTTTTGTCTTCTCTGCCTTTAACTCATTTTGAGATGCTATCACTATTCTGACTTGTGAACAGTGTTCTGGTTTCCCACCTCATGTTTGGGAGTCTTGGATTAGTTGAAAGGGACTACTTATTAGAAAACAGATGCCTAGCATTAACGATGAGATTAGGATGTTCCTCGATCTCAGTAACAGCAAGAGTTCTATTGACTTTCATGGTGCCTGAGGGACAGCTTTAATTCTCCATGTGTCCTGAAGCACAACACTTCTTTCTTCATAGATGCTTTGACTCATTGATACAAAGTCCCTGGTCAGAAACTGTAAGAGGAGCCTCTCCTGGATATTACAATATGAGTCTGTAACTTCACAGATGCTGTCAAGTGGTGAAGCCACTTGCAGACTAAGAACCTAATGCCTGGCTCTTCCTCAGCAAATGAAGATGAGCCAAGAAAGCAAGCCAGTGATCATATTTTGGCATGACTTACTGGCATTTACAGTGGACTTACTTATCACCAAACATCTCCTTTGCATTGCATGTATCCAGCATGCTCCAGCATTCGGCCCTGCATTTTTGCTTCTAGAGGCTGGCTTATCTTTCAGCAGTCTGGCCAAGCCTACTCTAGTAACATATGGCCGCACAATCTCGTCTCAACAATTTATTACAAACTGGTCATGGAGGTAGGGAATTACATGGCTACACTAAAAAAAGACGCTATCAACACTAATCTAGTAGGGTACTTATATGCCAAACCCAATTATCTGGACACTACTTTGTGTCCAGTTCTGCTTTTAGCCAAGGTATAACAGCACTTCCATAGCTCCCACTGTTGCTACTGTTGGCTACAGGCAAATAGGTATTTTCAGACCCCAACCCTCCTGCCACACACAGACACACACATACACTTATTTCTCTGGAGTTGGACAAGCTGTTGAAACTGGATCCTTTTATGGGAACACACAAGAGGTGTTTTCATCAGCAAGCTGGAAATTCTGGGAGTCACAGTTGCTGCTTGACTGAGGTAGCAGATAACACTATATACTCTGTCGTCTTTCCACCCACATAAATTCACCTTGTTATGCTGCCCACTTATTTGCACCTTCACTTCCACACAAATTCACATGCATGGTCACAGGCAAAAAGTGAGGACCTCAGTCATATTTCCTTGCATCTCAAAGGCAAAAAAAGAGAGAGGAGGAGGACTCTGCAGGACTAGGGCGTTTTTATTGGCGTTTTCATTAAAAATTATCTCCCACCAGTTCCAGGACTACAGCAAAACATTTTTACCATAAAATCCTAGTATGCAACAGGTAAAAAAGGCTCTGTTGATCCTATGCTGGTGAGGCATTTTAATCGAGCACTTAACAGGTAGTTTTGTATTTTTTAAATATAAGCTCTCAAATGATTAGGAGTATCAGGGTGAGGGAAGTCTTTCAGTGTTTCAATTTTCGTGCAACTACTTCAACATCCTCTGGCATTATTTTGAATCCAGCCAAAAGACCGGACAACCACAGAAATTATCAACTGAATGTAAGACAAACCCAAAGGAGAACCACTGAAGTTACTTGCAGAACTTGGACAGGACAGTGAAATACAAAAGAGGGGTGGGGTATGCACAGCTGAGGAGAAGGAACAGTTTAAATTTATCCCAGTATATTATCAGCATTCCCTCAGATATTTTATTCAAAAAGGTACAATTTAATCTGCATTGTCTTTGTATGAGTGGTATGATCTATATCAACCTCTGCCTCACATACACCTTTTTTCCTGAAGGCTGACAGAGCTACTTCACTTATAGTGTTCTGGTAAAATACCTTTGGGTAAACGTGCTTTTACAGACAACCCGTTCTGAAGTTAACAAAACTATAATATGTTTACGGGCCAAAGCCTTGGCACTTCTGATACAAAAATTATTTTGCGGAACCAAAGCTGGTTGACAGCAGCTGAGAATCTAGCCTAGTGCTATTACCAGTACATCCTACCTTCTGGCTTCTCTTGTGCACATTTAGCTAAAACAGTATCTCACAATTCCTAAAGTGTCAGAGGAGCATGCTTAGACTCAGTCTCCTTATTTCCTCATCCCTGTAGCCCAAGGACAAGTTAGAGTGGTCATGAAGCTGTCAAGTTAATGCAACGCCATCAAATATCCCGAGAGAGCTTGCATCCCTCACATTATGCTCCTTGTCTCACCACAGGCAAGGCTGTCTGCAGAAATAGATTTTTAACATTTATGCCTCCCCCTTGTGTTTCTACCATATGAACACACCACAGTGTTTATTTCTCAAAAGATCTCTCCAAATGCAAACTTTACACATCATATTTTTTGGGTTTCCTGGTAAATACATAAATCCAAGTTAACACTGAGAATAAAAATTTTTTAAGTTGCTGAGTCTAAAATTTCCCACTGAAACCAACCAGAATTACAGCTATTACAAAAGTCATCCAATATTTAACAGAGGATCTGATCTTAGGGGATAGGGAGCATACTATAAATACCTTCATCTAGCACATGCTATGAAGAGACAAATTAAATATTACTAATTCTGTTCCAGTGGAAAAGAGGCATCTTGCCACTCACTTCAAGAGAAGTGGGATTGAAATGGGGTGGGAAGTTTGCTTTGTTGTTGTCCTTTTGTACAAAGATTTGTCTGCACTGAGGGAGAGAAAAGTACCCGATTACAAGCAGAAGAAAAAATCAGACAACATACCTGACTTGCCCACGCCAGCTCGACCAAAGATCGCCAGCTTCACTTCTGCGCTCTTAGCCATGCTGGAAGGAATGGATCGACAACAAATTCACTTGATTGTCAAAAGTGAAGCAGAAGAACCGTTCTCAGCTCCTGTCTTTGGCTTCACGGTGTCATTGTGACGTCAGTGCAGAGCCTGAGGAAGAATACGAGGATGGAGCTGCAAGGAGCCAGGCTCTCCCTCACACCCCCCACTTTTTTCTTTTTTAGGTAGTCATGATAATTGATGCTATATTCCCTGTTTAAACATTGCAGTAACACCACTGAGACGTTTGACACAGTGCAAAATCTACGTGCCTTTCTAGCTCTTGCTGTTTTGTTTTACACTGGCACGGTAGTATTTCAAAAAGTACTTAAAAACCCAAAGCAGCTGCCTCACAGCGTTCCTTACTCTTTCTCTTTCAGATGCAATTGCTTATATTTACTGTATTTGCCTCAACTCCAGTGAATTAGTTTTTGTAGAATGTATTTAAAAGCCATGAGCACTTGCTAATAGTGCCTGCAGATAGCTATCTTTCCTCAAGCCCTCCGGTTCCAGGAAGGTTTCAGTTTCTCAGCAGCAGTTGCCTGAAAACCTCAAAGTACTTGTACCTTGCCCATTCTGCTAAACAAACAAATCCGTACCTAAAAGTTCTCTAGCACTCCTTGGTTTTAAGCAGCCTCAGCTCATATATAAACATTCGGCAAAGCGTGGGGTTACAAAAAGATTCCAGAATTTCAGGTAATGCACTTTTAACAGGCCACATGGGAATTATCTATATTCATGCAGCAACACTGACCTTGAGCAAGTCACCTAACACTTCATCTCCTTGATCTGTCTAACCTGGGCAGTAAAAAAATATAACAGTACCTGTCATTGTTTAAGATCTTGGGTGAAAAAAATGACATCTGTGATGATGACGATGATACTCAGCCCCGACTAAGCCATTAAAAATTGTCTCCCTTTAAAACGGGGTAGAACTTTTATTTGTGCATGCAACCTGTTATGAAGGTTCGCTGTTGTGCTAAAGTGTCCACTGTAGCCATAAATTCTAGCAACGATGTAGGAAGCTATGTTAGTATTACCTGCTCTACAGCAAAACGCATTTCAAACCCATTTCTTGAAAAAAAGCGCCTACGGCTTTTGCCTATTAAAAAGAGCTTGTAAAAAGAAAGAGTAAAGGCACCTTAGAGAAAGGTCCCAGTTCGTCTCTGACGTCTTTATGCTCCTCATCCATTTTGCCTAAGAGTAAATACCAGACCACGCTCGCTTTGCGCGAACAGCTGGAAACGGGAGGTGTTCCAGGCGTGCTCTGGAGGGGGACACCGGTATCTCCCTCCCACCACTATAAAGTTCTGAGTAATGCTGATGGGCAGCATAGTGATGAGTGTAGATTTCTTGCTAGCCCCTGTAGATTTTAGGCCTTAGAAGCATATTGCTTAATTTTACAAAAATTAATTCCTGTGCTTGTCATGTTATTTGCACTGATAGAATACTTAGTCGGCATAAGGTCGAGTGCATGTCTAAGTCTTCACATGACTGGGATATAAATAGTTCCTATATTGGGCTATTTAGAACACCATTGGTCATGCATGCCTATCAGTTTCAGTAGAAGTTTTGCGTGTGCAAGGGATATAGGGTCACATTTCAAATGATGTCAGTGAGGGCTCCAGAAAGCTTTGCAAAACAGCAAAGCTTGACCAGCGGCAGAACCATTTGACTAGCTGCTTCACTTCTTTTTCTTCCTCCACTCCAGGAAAAATTGACACATTTAACTATTCCTCAGTATTTATTTTTCCCAGTCAGTTATATGGTTATTTACCTGATTAGGTTTCTCAAAGTAAATTTTAATAGAATTTTTTTTTCCCCAGTGAAGGTGAGTTCAACAGTTATGTAAGGCAGAGGCCAGCCAGCCAGAGCCTTGCCAGTACCCCTCAGTCCTGGCTTTCAAAACAGTTGTTATTCCAGTAATGTCTCTCTCTGTTAAACTGCGGCTGCCAACTCTGTTCAAATGTGTGGTGGTTTTCTGCTGTGGGCAAACAGCCACCAAGACTGAAGCTGCATCCACAAAACTAATTTCATGGCTAAATGCCGATTCCTTTAACCATAAGTCTCCATAGGTAATAAACAGTGGAAGTATGCCACAAAACAGCCTTTTTTGGGGGTGAGGGAGGTAGGCACCTCACTGTGCTGGAATATGAAAAAGTCTGTTGCCCCAAAGCAACACAGTTACGTTCTAGCAGTCTGAGAAAGAAAGAAAAAAAAAATAAAAAGGGTGCCCCCCCCCTACTTTTTTTTTTTTTTTT